AAGCTTTATTTTTTATAAAAATTATATTGTACTACAAAGATCATATAAAAAATGATCTACGTATACTCTACCCTTAACTGATCTCTAGATCAGATAGTAATTATATTTATTAATTAAAGTAAATCATTTATATTAAAATCTCTGTCTCCATGTATAATTTCTTTAGTTATACTTGAAGACTCATCAAGCTTTAATTTGGATGATAAAGTTATAAGATTTTTGACTTCTAAACTTGTTAAATTTTTTTAACTAAGTCATCTGATTCTTCTGAAAACTTCTTTTATTATAAGTTCTTTTAGGAAAGAAAATGAATCTTTTTCATTAAATAAATCAATATTGTTTTTTATAGATATTGTGATTTTGTTGAACACTAATAAGAAATCCTCTTGACAAATATTTGGATCAATATAATTAAGTTCTGATTTGGCATTTTCAACTAAATATAAATGCATCTGAGCCATAGTCTCTAGGCATTCAACACTTAATTTAAAAATATAATTTGTAGTTAGTTAGTTATAACTATAATTAAGCTAAAATAAATTGTAATCTCTTAGCAAAAATTTTGATTTTTTTTTTTTTAACAAATTATTTTTTAGGTTAGTTATAGCAGAAAAATATCAAGATCTAATAATATTTTATAGTCTATCTGAATTAGTAAGCAAGTAATAATAATTTAAATTTATATATTAAATATAATATAATCTTGATATTTTCTAAATTAAACAAGAAATTTTAAATAAGAACTCATCTAGTTCACTTTTTTTCAAAATACCATTCTAGTATGCTAAAGACATGCTCATAAACAGCAGCATTATAAAAGAAAATAGAATATATTTTTAAAGCAAGATGTTTAATATAATCTTTATTTCTTTTAAGATCTATAGATGTCTACTAATTAGTAACTATATCAGCAGATTCAACAAATTTATCATTGAAAGGATGCTTCCTGTTCTTGTACTACTTATTTGAGTTTTTAAAAGATCTGCACTTATTCAACTACTACCAAATAGTTTCTATATTTTTAATACTTTTTTAAGAACATAGTTTTTATATATACTGGGTTCAAGAAAATCATCTGTATAAAAATAAATAAAAATAAATAATATAAAATAAAAATAATGTAAAATTTATGCATTTAAAATATGTTAGTTTAAAGTACCATGATAAGCTAGATATAAAAAAAATAATAAAAGATATAAGTCTGTATCAAATTTTTTTTATTACTTTTATAAATAGTGATATAATCATGCTAGAACTGGTTATTGTATAAAACAAAAGTTTCTTGGATTGAAATTGCTATTTTTACCAATTCAATAAATACATTTGTCAACAAAGTGGTTTGAAACTCTACATTCTTTATAGCCTGTTTTACTGGGCCAAGAATATTTTGCAATTGCTTTATATTAATTCAAAATTAACAATCAGTAATTAGATTTTTTACTGCATTTGCATGATCAAATATTTGAGGTTCTTGTTTTAAAACCTATTATAAAAAATTAATTTAAAAAACACTGTTAAAGTATATAATATAATATGCTTGTATAAGTATAAAAGAATTAAGCAATATAAACCCATGATAAGTCTACTAGGCGTAGAAGACTAAGGAACCAAGGTGACAGAAACCCACTTAGAAATTCCCGAGTAAAGAGATAGCATGAACTTTTAAAAGTACCATTGGACCAGTTTAAGCTCATGAAACACCTTCATAGGAACCGAAGGTTAAAACCGGATGACAAATATGTGTAGAGGAGCACATAACCAACTAGGCTGCCGGGTTCGCCAGAGGAAAAGAATACAGAAGTATACCATACCGGGCCATCTGGATTGGTAGTCTGGATAAATGAGACCGACGGTTCTGAGTTGCGGCTA